CCCCCCCCCCTTCCCAGAACACAGCCAGCCTGGGACGTCCACAAAGGTTAAGCTGCCCAATTTCACAGAGGATATCGACTGGCAAGGACTGGCAGATTTGTACTGCATGAACGAGAGTCTGTACGAACACAGACGCAACTACAGTCCCGACCTGGATGACTGGACGAACTTTTGGAAGGATGTAGATTCTATGTTTGCACTGCTGAGAAATGTAAAGAAACTCAACCAAACCGATAAGCTTGACCCGCTGTCTGAGCTGGGCTCTGGGGTCCTGGAGGAGGCCAGTGGTGCTGGATTCCCAATCCGAGAGGAACACCCCCTGATTCCTGTCACCGAAAGTCCCTCGAGAGGTCCAACACCCAAAACTCTTCAAAAGAGTCGTTTAAAGTCTTCTAATGAACTCCCAGAAGGCCGCCCAACCAAACTAAGCACTCTTCCCAGGGGAGACACATGGGTTCAACAGCTGGAAAAAGAGTTGGACACTGATGGAATGACTTTTAGCGGCAACGGCGTCACTGAACTGGAGACCCGCCATGACTTTCTGTTGCGCAGCTCTAAAATTCTGGATCGCCACCTGCAGGAAGAAGAGGAGGACATTTTTCAGGCCCAGGGTTACCTTCCCCTCTCGTCGCAGCCAGCCAAACCCCCAGAGCCCACTGGGAAAACTCCTCCAGCCCAGAGTGACACCCCACAGGAGAAGTGGAATGGAAGCATCAGACCTTTTACCCACAAGCCCAGGGTTGTTCAAGACTCGGAGGGTAGCGCCTCGGAACCATCCCCTTTGAGAAAGGACTGCTTGCCATGCACTGTGAAGCCAGCCAACTCAGAGACACTAACCCCACGGAGCATGGACTGCTCTCCTGTATAATCCAATGAATTATTTTATTTTTTACAAGTGCTTCCATTTATTAGAAATCAGTGTTATGTATTTTGTCAAAAAAAAAAATATATATATATATATATATATATTTATATATATATAAATTTAGAGGTAAAGTATCGAATACATCTTAAATGTTGGGTTTGTTTTTAAATCTCAAGTGGGAAAACACCATCAAAGTAAGGTTTTAATATATTTTTAAGTAAGAAACAGGTTCAAATGGTGAAACCGTCACATTCAGTCTTGAATTAACCACATGCAGATTGTTTCCCCAAATATTTGATGCACTTTTTTCATGTTTCTCAACTTCAACACATTCTGCAGTCTCATTTAGACGTAAACGACACCATGTTGCCACCCAACACAAGTCATTATTTGTTGGATTCGCTTTTGTTAATGAGTATTGTTGATGTTTTCTTCGACGTTTACTTCAGCTTGTTAGGTTCCACTATAAAACACTGCTTGCACATGTTTCATACACTTGGATTGTGGGTTTAATGGCTTGACTTGTTGGTGAAATGGTTCTCTCACAAATGTTGTATAGTTCAGCTGCATTCAGTCCATATAATGTAAGAAGGGCATTCACCCTAAGTGCTTTAATCATGAAAGATTTCACTAACCTACAAAATGTAATCACTTTAAAATAGCTTGTTTCATTTGTGAAGAATGTGAGATGGGCATTTATTCAGAGTTTTCTGACATTTTTTCATCCTGTCTTTTAGAATTGCCTAATTGTCTAAATTCATTTTTGAAGTAAAAATGATTTGAATATGAGATGACCTGCCAAATTTACAAATATTACATTACTTTTTAACCAGTGGTGTTGAAACAATTCTGGCTTCTGGAAAGCCAAGAAGCTGTTTTGAAATAAAAATCTGCCAAACATTTGTTTCACCTACCTTGTGCCTCTAACCTTTAATTGATAGATTAATAAATAATAATAATTCACAATTTAATGAAATTACAATGTGACACTGATGTTACACTGCAAATGGAAGTTGTAGAGCTTTTTATAATGTACTGCAAAGTAAACAGTTTTACAATTAATGCTCGTATCTAGTGTGATTTGGGTGTAGAAGACGTGATTCTGCCTTCCAGGATCCGAAAATAATTGAGTAAAATTGAGTAAAATATGAACATAAAATTAAAATGCACTTTATTTCTTTGTTCTTTCATATGTATCATACTTGTGGACTTTTTGTGATTAGTTTTATCCTTTCTAGCCATAAAAAGTTGTTTTCTCTATCTCCTCATACTCTTTATTTTAGGCTGTGTCCTGGGCTGAGTGCTTTGAATAACAGTCAACCCATTAGTAACATTCTGCCAAGAAGTCTTGGCGTGACTCTACTAATGCCATTCACTTTTCTTCATGTTTGCTCTATAAATATATGAACTCCAGAAAGGCAGCAGAAACCAGTTTTTATTTATTTAAGAAAGATTGAAACTGTGGTCAGGTTTGGCAACAACGCAATTTAAGAAGTTAGAATAGTGGTTTGATTTATAAATATTAATATAGTTTTTAAATTTAGTGTTAATTAAATTGTTGTACAGAGGATCCAGTCACTTGGCTATAGTTTTGGGTGCTTGATTAGAGTTTAAACTTTAAGCTCAACATTGCATAAAAATAATGTAATATGTTGTTTCAGACAATGCTGTTTTAATAATAGTAGTCTACCACTAGAGGGCAGCACTATAGTTTGTCTAAACCTGAACGTGATGATAAAGGGATAGTTCACCTTCAGTTGCTGGTCCCCATTGACTTCCATAGTGGGGTGGGGGAACAATATGCAAGTCAGTGGACCAGCAAATGAAGGTGAACTATCCCTTTTAGTTTTCATTGCTCAGAAAACATACGAGAGATTTTTTTGAAGTACCATTTTGCTATAGGTGTAGGATGGCTTAGTTTTATTACAATGCCATGAAATATACTGGCTACACACAATAAATATTATTTTAACATCTTAATGTTATACAAATGATACAATTATTTAAATACAGATGATTAAAAGAAACCACAAAGTAAAATAATCTGATCCACACACACAAAAAAACGTTTTGTGATGACTATATAAAATAGAAGACTACACTGAAGAAATATAATGCAATGTTGATTGACTGGTTGCTACATATTTGCAGTGATCAAAAAATCTGGATGCAGATTGGATGCAAACGAATGTAACTACCAGGTGGCGTCACTGTACTCATTTTCCCAGTGAATGTTTGAGTACAACTTAAGAGGGGTGTGGGAAAGTCAAAACGGTGTCCTCGCTGACAGAGACAAGACCGAGACATGACTCTAAAAGCATTCATGAAAGATTTGTGCAACAGTGATGTGAGATGCTGTTTTTGTACCTGTAGCTGGATGATTTGAAGATAATCAGCATGCTTCTCTCAGACTTTCATTGGAAACTTCATAAGCTGGACAAACACTGCCACATACACATTCTAAGACTTTTTCAGGGAGTAGAGTGCTGATTGACACTAAAAAAAGAGTGGCACTGTCCAAAGGTCAGCTGGACACCTGGGTGAGAGTGACCCCTGAGGAAAACCATAAAGATCGGTTTTGCCTTATTACACCTTTTTCTTGAGTCTTTTTATGTGATACTTGTCATCATGAAGAAGCTTTTTTGGTTATTTTTAGACTATATATGGAAGTATTAGACAAAATATTGAGATAGCCTTAATGAAAACCCAGTCCAGAGCATTCAAAACCTCAGACTGGGCAAAAGGTTCACCTTCCAACAGGACACTGACACTAAGCACACAGCAAGAGTGGCTTATAGACAACTCTGTGAATGTCCTTGAGTGGCCCAGCCAGAGCCTGAGCTTGAACCCAATCAAATAATTCTGGAGAAACCTGAAAATGTGCATTTGCTCCCATCCAACCTGACAGAGCTTGAGAGGTGAAGAGGTGAGGAGAAGAAGGGCAGATAATTGCCAAATGATGGTGATCAAAGCTTGTCGCATTAAACAAAAAAGACTTGAGGCTGTAAAGGTGCTTCAGCGAAATATTTAGTTATGCAATGCACTTATTTCAGTTTTTTTATTTTTGTAATAAATTTACGAAGTTGTGACAATTCTGTTTTTGCTTTGTCAGTATGGTGTATGTAGTGTAGATTGATGTGGGAAAAAGTAATTTAAAGCAGTTTAACATAAGGCAGCAACATAAACAAAATGTGAAAAAATGAATGGGGTATGAATACTTTCGCAAGGCACTGTACACATAATACATGTTCAAAAGTTTGGAATAAATAAATTAAACACATTAGTTGATCAAAAGTGACCGTAAAGACGTTTATAAGGTTACAAAAGATTTATATTTCTATTCATTCGAACTTTCTATTTGTTAAATAATTCTGGGGAAAAAAATGAAATACATCCTCAAACTTTAATTTTTTTATCATGATATTTTTTGCTAGCTGCAACAAATGGACGCAAGTTGTTCACATGTTTTAAACTTAATTTAAAATGATACAGTTTATATTTTATGTATATTTTTTATAATTATTTGACATTTTGATGACTGATAAACTATTCAATGGCAACTTCCAATGTGACAACTAGTGTGGCATGTTGTCACAAAGTGAACTGTATGCTTTTTTCATCTGAACATCATGACTTATGGTTTTGAGGTCAAGAAATAGGGATAAGTATGTTTTAAAAACAAAGTTAAAACATACTTACCAAAGGGATATAGGCCTACATTTCCCAGCATGCGCAGCAAGCTCCGTCACCCCCTTCATCAAATCCGCAATCTCTCATTCTCTCACTGTCCGTGTCGAGGACAACAACTCACTACCTCTGTCTCTATCGGCCCGTGTAAGTACACTACTCCTCACTCAGTTCACTCTTCATTCAGTTTATCATTATTTTTATTAATCAGAACTTAGAGTCGAATTGTAAGCGATGTGCTGTGAATGAATTCAGTGAAAGGATCAGTGTTTGGACTGACAGTATATTGTATTATATTTCTGCGAATTACACTCGTGTATAAAGTCGTGACTTCGTAGACGTTAGGTCGGGAATAAGTTGTATTAGATAAACAAATAATTCGGGCAGGTTGACACGGTTTTTAATTTTCCTCACAGTGTTTTTTCAGTGCTCTGTCGCACGTTTACTGTTATTCTTTGTCTTGCTCGACCGCTAATCTACCAGACAGCAGCTCGACTTCACAAAACAAATGACAGGAAAAGTACGCTGTTTCTATTGCTTCTTGAACAGTAATTAAACAAATATTAATACTAGTTTGTCTTTATTTCCATTGTCTTTAGGATTCTGAATCACTAAACTACAAAGAATCATTTCATCCTATGTTCAAATGACATGAATTGAACTTTTCGCTGCTACGCTTATAAATGAGGCGAAACTGTAGGCAGCTACACTAGGTGAAATATTATATAATAGATCTAATGCATATGATATGACCACATTCTGACTTATTATGATGAGGAATAAGAAAAAATAGCTGCTATACAGAGGGATCATGCTTGGAAATCTAGTCGTCTTTAGTCTGTTTTTTGTGTGTCTAATCTGTGGAATAACTCCTGTAAACTTTAAATTAAATTTATAATCTTAGTTCTATTTGCATTGACTCCACAAAGCCAAAATGACTTCATCGTATAACGATGAGACCAGGAGTGATATATCAGAATCTGTGGAAGTCTGCGAATTCCAGGGACAATATGGAGATCCGGGTGGTTACTACAAATCCAAAAGCCTGCCCGTTCTTAACGGAGACTGTCCTAACGTTAATGAGTCCTTGGAACCAAGGCTGGTCAGTACGACGGAGACTTTAGTAAATACCAACCAGTGCTTAGTGTTCAACAAGCTCCGACAGAAAGGAGACTCGAGTGAACTGGAATCGCCCACCAAGACAGATTTCTCCCCTTCCATGTCCAGTATGGTGGGTCTTAGTAGCTCCATGAGAACTGAAGCCAACCGAGCAGGTGGCAAAAAAATAGGCTTTTCATTGGCAAGATTCATCCGCTTTCCTGCAAGAAAGTACATGAGGGTGATTTTTTCAGACTCTAGGTGTTTTCTGTTCTGTATGTGTTACCTGACGTTTATCCAGTCGTTGATGGTCTCAGGCTACCTTAGTAGTGTCATCACTACAATAGAGAAGAGATACAGCCTTAGAAGTTCAGAATCGGGACTGTTGGTTAGCTGTTTTGACATTGGAAGTCTTTTGGTGGTGGTCTTCATCAGTTATTTCGGGGGTCGAGGCCAGAGGCCACGCTGGTTGGCGGTAGGAGGGGTGTTCATCGCAGTGGGAGCAGCTCTGTTCTCCCTTCCGCATTTCATCTCTCCACCCTATCAAATTCAAGAGGTCAATTCGTCCACGGGGAACGAGGGCCTGTGCTCGAACGGGAATGGGAGCAGAAAGGATGTGTCGTCCTGTCCAAGGGACCAAGAGGGCAATGATCACTCCATATATGTTGCCCTGTTCATCTGCGCCCAGGTCCTGGTGGGCATGGGTTCCACTCCTATCTACACGCTGGGACCAACGTACCTGGATGATAACGTGAAGAAGGAGAACGCTTCCCTCTACCTTGGTAAGAAACTTCTATGTAGTTTTGTGGCATTACTTGCTTAGTTTTGTGCTTCTGTTTTTACTTTTGTTGATTACACAAAACAGTTAACACTGTCATCAATTTTTTTAAATATTTTTTCAAATATTTATTTTATCTTAATTATTGGATTTTATTATTTATCAAATTTCCCTAAACATATAGATTCATTTATAAACATATATATATACACAAAACTGTATAAATATTGATTATACACACTATATATATTTTTTAATTGTTTACAAATGTTTTTTAATTAATATTTAAATATAGTTTTAGTTATATAGTTAGTAATACATACATAATTTATTAAATTTATAAAGTAATAAATACATAATATGTACACATTAGTGTATGATTATTAAATATGCACACTAGTTTTTATTTTTAATTAATTAAATGAATACATACAGAATACAATATACACTAAAGTTTTATATTATATTTTAAGTAAATGTATAAAAATTATAAATATAATTATTTTATTTTATTAATGTTTACAAGGCGGAAAAAATCCTGGAGCAGCACCAGAGGTCATTGCAAACTGAGGGGGGTATGATACATGATCACATGACCTTTGTTCTTTTATCTGTCAATACCTTTATCCTTAATCTTTTCCAAATCCCATTCCTTCCACCCTGCGATTGAGCATGCTGATGAATTTGTGTGTAGCCTCTTTGGGTGCACTTGTATTTAGAGAGACTTTTGTTGAAGAAACACTTACATACTTGCAAAAAGGTGGCATCAGGTGGCATAATCTTTTTGTTTTAGTTGTAATCGGCATCATTCTATTATCAACATGTTAAGCCATAACCATGGTAACTATGAAGATAGGAAGCATGCTGGGAGTGTGCATAGTGACCGGTTTTGACAAAACAAAGCTGCTTTAGTTGTATGATTAATTGGGACAGACCAGTGATTTTGGTTTTGTAGGAAGAAAAATCTTGGTGAGTACTCACTCTTACGCTTGGTGAGTAAGTGGGGCAGTGGCCGACACTCTGTCTGGTGCACCCATCTGACTGTAACCCCCAGCTGTACACACTCCCAGACAGCGTCTTTTAAAGAAGCACAGCACTGATCCAGAAACAGGGAGGGGTCTTTGTGATGGGTGATAATGCTTCAGTGAACATGCACACGCAGTCTTGGAATAAAGAGCACTCCATTATAAAGTACATATGCTGCAGCCTTAAAGGCAATGTATTGATCACTGCTTACACCTGAAGCCAGTTCAGTGAGAATGGTATGACTGAGAGCCAGAGACACAAAACAACTGGCTTCTCTACATTCTGACAGCCTGAGGTTTTCCTTCTCCCTTGAAACTTCATGTCTAGCAAAAAAAATGTTGTTGTGTTGATATCTTAAAACGGAATATAACCCTTAAAGAGCTTTTTTCTTGTAGTGTTTTTCCTTAGCTTGTATGTAGCATTAAATGGGTTAATTAAGATGATAATAATGAATTTAAAAAAAAACTGTTTTAATGCTTGTGCTTTTCATTCTGTATGATATTTTAGATTAAGAAAAATAACAAAATATTTAGGAAAAAGTACATAAATTGGACTTTTGGTTGAGTCTTGATTTACAGACTGCAACTAACATTCAGCTAAAAATAATATGAATCATAAAACGAACCATTTATCAAATTTTGCCTGCTTTCTTTCTGGCATCTCCCTGTTCCAATTATTTCAAACCCCATCACAATTTGTGTAAAGCACTTGGGGCAAGAAAAGACAAATTGAAATCTCCCATACGTTGAGAGAAAGTAGAGTAGAATGTTTGCTTCGTCCTCAGCACTTGTTTGAGTTGCACACACATTCCGCTAGCGTCGCTTAGGGCCGTTATACTTCCCTCTGAGCTCTTCACAGGTGGTTCAGACCGGGTTTGTCATTGCAAAACATGCTTATTCTCTTTTCTCTGCATCCTGCATCCTTTCATTTGCCTTCTTTTACCTATGGTGTCTGAGTTAGTTGTGTGCAACGGACAGGGGTCTGCATTAGGAAAACATTTGCATACCCCGAAGTCCCTCAGGCAGATTCATTTTAATGAGCTGATGTAAACCAAAGTCCATTGTCTACCGTTTTCTCTTTCTGACACACTTTCGCCTACTAAAACTGACCCCTGTTCAGTTATCAGTGACACTTACACGAAGAATGACTGAAAATAACAAAATTACTTCTGCATAAACATAAATGCGGATAATTTAAAAATGGCCCAAAAAAAAAAAACCCTTAAAAGTCGATTTATATCGAGCAACCATTAAGAAGAACATAAGCAGTTTGTCACAGTGCCACCAATGTCGAAAGTATACAATAGAATAGTTGACACTCTAAACAATATTACCATTACAAATAAAATTTCAATAGTATACATAGTAAAAATATCCATTTTAATTTACTTGCATGCAAAAGATGCATTTTGAAGAATATTGTGGCTGTTCTTTTTAATATAATTGAAGTGAATGAGGATGGGGTTGTCAAAAAAAAAGCACCATAAAAGTGCACTAAAAACTGTGTTGACATTTCACAATTAATTGCAAAGAAATTGCAAATGCATTGAATTAAATGTGAAATTCTGAAGTGGAAAAAATGGAACAGTATTTTCTTGTAAACGTATTCCAACTAATCTTTATTTTGTTTACAACTTCAAAAACAGTGTAGTGAATATGACTTGTGAGTTACATTCCAAGTCAAAGTAATCTTTGCAAGAATATTCATATATCATTTAAAAAAAAAAAAAAAAAAATATATATATATATATATATATAAATAAATATCTCATAAATATCATATTTTGCTCTGACTGATTTAAAGGCCAATGATTTTCTTAATGTGGTGCTTGTGGCTTATAGACTGCTGTCAGCCGAAGGGGTCAGTTTTGATTGGATTGTTCCTGTGTGTTTGAGTGTGTGTCTGTATTTTCGTTTGTTGCCAAATGCAGAATGAAGTAATAATACTCCAGGTAGCTCTGTAACTTTAAGCTCTGACACTATAATAACTAAGGGCCTGCATTATTTCTGTTTGTGTCGCTTTTTGTCAGAGATAGTTGATCATAATGCACTGACGGCTCCCTGGTGGATGAGCAGTTTTATTTGCGGTAGTAATTGAGGAATACTGCGAGATGGATGGAGGCTCTGTTAAATTGGTGTGCACAATATCAGGACACCCTGTGTAAACACAACTACTCTGTCAGCCTGCTTCTGTTAAATTTAGAAGGAGGTAACAGCTGCTGCTTTTTGTGTGTGCATATGTGAGAAGGAGAGAGACTCTGACTTTACTAGGTGTTTCTTTAGCTACAAGCACTTTTGTCCCAGTGGGTTTTTAGGAAATAATTGTTGTTAAACATACTTTTAATACTCCCACTAGTTTAATTCGTGTTTTTTTTTTCAATTTAACACTGTCCAATGGTCTATATACATGCATCACTGGATTTTTTTTCTGAAAGTAATACAAATTCACACCATTTTACACCAGTAAAGGTCCAATATTTGTAAAAAAAATAAAAAATAAAATAAACAATTTCCATTCTCATTTTCACTCTCTGTTGTGGGCTTTAAAGAGCTTTACCTGTTGCAGGAACCAAAGTAAATGGCCACTGCTGTGATTGGCTAACAACCACATCGATTGTAACAGTCTTTTTCAGGATGGTAATTGCTTTTGCTTGCATAATTGCCAAATTTTGTTGGAATATAGTTTTAAAAGTACTATTATTACTAGGGCTGGGTACTTTTTAGGCACCGACCGAATTGCCTCGATACTATCGCGTATCGAAAAACGTCTCGTCGTTCGGTACCAAATTTCGATACCTAAGGGGTTAATCTCATCAACGTCAGTGAGGCGCAGATCGATCAGTGTTTGACATCCGCGAGAGCGATGTGAAAACGTACGGAGCAGTTTGCTCGTTGTATCTTACTATAGCCTAATACACCGATAGGTCTGCACAGTCGGTCCGCGTCACGCGCCACACTCAGAGATGTGGCTCACACGTGAGGATTTAGTGTGAATGCATCCCAACCCCGTAGCTGTAAGGCTACATTTACACTGGTGCGCTTTTGTTTTAAAATTAAAACTATCCTTGTCGTACTGACGTTTCCACTGCGTTTCAAGCCGGCTTTCCACTATCTCCGACAAATGACAGACCGAAAGTCATTCATTTCCAATGGAGAGTAGCGTGGGAGCTGTGTAGAGTTTCAATCATATGAAGATGTCCGTTCATACTACAAGACCGAAAGCATGTGTTATGTGACCATTCATGCACACTGTAGTATCATGCTACATAAGACCAGGGTTTAAATTGGGCCGGGGGCCGTCTGGGGCTGAGCCCCGGCACATAGACTCCAGGGCTTGACATGAACTCTTCATTAACGCCAGACAAGTAACATGATTAAAACATCAGTAACCAAAAATAACTATGTAAACACCAAAACGCAATGTTATTCTGATTTTATTACATTTAGAGTAAGTGGCGAATAGTGGATATCTGATGTATATAATGTATCTATTGGCAGTATAGGGTTGCGCTGCTGAGGCGAGGCTCCCGCAGCCTCTCCAGGAGAAATCAAAATGCGCAACACTAAGAAACTCAGCATCCTGAGGTAAAAATTCAAAATGGAAAGTTTTTATATTTAAAATACAGTTAGTTAGGCAACATCACGCAACGTTTTCACCATTACGACTGTTTAATA